TTCCTAGCCTATAGGAAGTGAAAAGGAGGTCCAAGGTCAGAGTACCTATAGACAAATTATGTCATAACTTAACCAAGTCTTGTGGGTAACTAAGGACTGATGACGTGTAATGAATCATAGAGGGTTGTAGAAGCTTCTAGAGCTATCGTTCATGTTCCTAGGCCTCTAGTTGGTAGAGATATGCCATGTGGTAGTATTGGCCCACCCCCTTAAGGAGGAGATTTTCTTAATAACTTGTTCAATGAGTGTCCAAATGATATGCCGTGATGTATGTAGCATAAACAGATGTAGTAGAAGAGTTTGCAGCAATCGTTGAGTAGTATTGCTTCTGTTGTTGATGTGATAAGCCAAGATATGTATGTTGACTTGTAGGTTTGAGGAGGAGATTTCTAAGTTTGCTCTTGAGTTTGATAGCAAACTGAGTGCAACGAATGTCAGTATGACAAATATGGCCTCACTAGTACCAAAATCAACTATTCCCTCAATGTTAGATCCTGATATGTTTGTTGAATCTCACGTATCAATACCTGCCTCTGCAACTCAACAATCCACCCAGTTGACAGAGTCAATTAGAAGTAAGAAATGCCCTCGTACCTCATTTGTTTGGAAGCATATGCCTGGTCCAGTAAATACTATATATACTCAAGGCAAATATGTCTACTGGCGATGTCAATACTGCTCATGAGAGTATAGAGAATCTGGAGGTACAGCATTTATTGCACGACATCTACAAACAGAGCATAACATCACAGATGAGGAGAAAGAGCAACGTGCCATCTCTCAACAACTTAGTATTGCATCTGCCTTTCGACATGGAGAAGAGAACCAGAAAAAGCGTCGATGTCTAGATTCTTCTCTACTACTATCAACCCAGCAACACTCAAACAGCTATTTGTACGATGGATCTCCCGTTGTTCAGTTCCATTTCGAATGGTAGAGTATTCAGAATTTAGAGACCTTCTCTTCTTCCTCAATCCCGGCATCAATTCCTGGCTGCCTACAGACCACCACACTATCAAAAATTGGACCCTCACAGCCTACGAATCGGAGAGGCAACGTATACAACAAGGTCTTCAATCTGCGCAGTCTAAGAATCATTTCACAGTTGATCTATGGACCTCTACCAACTCTAAAGCGCTTCTCGGTATAATTGGTCACTACTTTGCAGATAATGGAGACCTCTGACAGTCAGTTCTAGCTTTGAGAGAATTGGAAGGACGACATACTGGTGATAATCAGGCAAGACTAATTATGAGAATTATTGAGGAGTATGGAATTGCCTCGAAGGTTGTCTATTTTATGATGGACAATGCTGAGAACAATGAAACTATGATGAGAGCGCTTTCTTCCTGCAAGTTATTCCTCTTAGAAATAGCTATTACCAATAACTAACTATATTGTTTAGTACTACAGGAACAGTTCGAATACAATCCAATTCATCACCGACTTCGTTGTAATGGTCATATTATCAATTTAACTGCTCAGGCCTTTCTCTTTCAACTGAAGAAGAAGCCCTATCACAAGAGAACAATCAAGGCAGTTCTGATACCCCTTCTGAGCTTGAAATGGAGAGCTGGTGTCGGAAAGGTCCTCTTGGAAAGCTTCATAATATTGTAGTATATATTCAAAGATCTCCACAACGAATTGCGGCCTTTGTCAAGCTCAGTTCTGGCAAGCGTCTAGTCAGGGATCATGTCATACTGACATTCGTTGCACTCAGTTTGCTATCAAACTCAAGAGCAAACTTGGAAATCTCCTCCTCAAACCTACAAGTCACTATACATATTTTGGCTTATCACACCAACAACAAGAGCAATACTACTCAACGATTGCTACAACCATCTATGATTCATTACACGTCATCGCTCCTTAGTTACTGGGCCGATATTACCACATAGCATATCTCTACAACCCTCTATGATTCATTACATGACATCACTCATACTACCACATGACATATCTCTACCAACTAGAGGCCTAGGAGCATGAACGATAGCTCTAAAAGCTCCTACAAACCTCTATGATTCATTACATGTCATCGCTCTTTAGTTACCCACAAGATTGGTTAAGTTATGACATAATTTGTCTATGACATAATTTGTCTATAGGGGTACTCTGACCTTGGACCTCCTTTTACTTCCTATAGGCTACGAACCTAAGAGATGGTTCTATGGGATTCTCTTACGTCGACTACAGTTACCAAGCCTGGTAAGTCATGGAAAGTCTTGAAAAATGAGAGAACTACACTCCTTTAGCATAAATAGGATTGCCCTTTCCTTAAGAAAGGGCAAGCAGACAATACAGTAAATTGACTATCACATACTTCCACATCTTTTCCAAGCTTCCAAGCATTGATCTTGTTACTCCTTGTTTCTGAAAAGTCAGTGAGCTGTTAACCTCTGACTTACCCCTGAGTTCCCAGACTCAACATTTGTTGCAACTTGTCTGAACCACTTCACTACATCACACACCTGATTGCTGCGTTGTGGAATAGTCTAAGCTACGACCCTTTGGCTCTGTTTTCTAAGACAGTGTGTTGTCTTAGTAAATTCATCCCTTCCTTGGGTGGCTAGATTCTCACATCTGGTGCACCCACCATTACAGATAACAAGACTCGATAGAACTCCTGGTATGCTATGATCGACTGCGCTATCCAAGAGCATATAAACTTGGCAATTGACTGGGTCGTACTAACAAATATCCACCACTTTCTTAAGTTCTTTCATCAAGCAACACTAGCAACAGAGGGCCAAAGGGCAACAATTGAGCATATTCTCTCAACAATGGAATTTCTACTTGAGCAGCTTGAACTTGGCAAACTTGAGTATATCAACGATTCTCATATTAGCCCTTGTATCAATTCAGCCTGGTCTAAATTAGACAAGTACTATAGCCTGACTGAACGATCTCCAGCTTATATTGTAGCCATGGTATTAGTACCCTTTCAAAAATGGACTTGGATTGAAGACAACTGGGAGAGCACTTGGATAGTAACAGCAAAGGCATCTATGCAGCTATTTTGGGACGAGCAATACAAGCCAACACCTCAACTAGTAATGTCATCAAATGAGCTAGTTGTAATGGGTGCCGTCGTTACAGTACATGTGGTATATAAAGCATGTTACGCATATTCCGGGTGAGCCGGAATACTGTAGTCTTTTTGGCTCAGTGGGATGTAGCGCGAGCGTAACCGTACATCATTACAAGAGTATTCCGGCTCACTGGTCAATGGGTTTTGATTGGCTCGCTAGTTGGGTGGGCTAAGCGAGCAATCAGTGTAATTCCTTACCTGGCTGACAAGGGGGCGTCCTTGGGGGCTTAAGCTATTATATACACACCTTAGCATCCTGAGTAGTAACGGGCCTAGAAGCAAGTACGAGATGATACGCTAGAAGCCTCTACATCCGTGCCGGGACGTCACGGACTATAGGGGGGGATAATTGTAACGGGTGCCGCCGTTACAGTACATGTGGTATATAAAGCATGTTACGCGTATTCCGGGCGAGCCGGAATACTGTAGTCATACATCATTACACTAGTACAGGAGAAGACTGAGCATCAAATCTGGCTTGAGCAGAAGAGGCGGCAGCCACCAGTTATTGATGAGTATATCAAGTACTGCCTGGCAGGTATTACACCAGAAGTTGACCCAAAGTCCTGGTGGATGGAGCCAGCACAGCATGCAACCTATCCCAACCTGGCGGTGATGGCATTAGACATACTGTCAATACCAGCGATGTCTGCCGAGCCTGAACGCCTATTTTCCAGTGCCGCTCTCACAATTATTGAAAGGAGGAATAGGCTTGGAGTTGAGTCAGTTGAGGCATTAGAGTGCCTAAAATCCTGGTACAGGGGAGGAGGCACAGCTTGGGTAGATAATTGAATTAGTGACGACGGGTCGAGAGTAGATGACAGCAAGGTATATTGTTAGTATTGTAATATATTGCTATATCACCATATTAATATCATGATATATGGCGTGATACAATATCGCAAGATGTAATATGCTGACAATATCATACACCATAATTCTGACAATATATCATGATATCATATAATAATATGATATCTAGGATTTAATGGACTTGTTGCCTGAGAGATCGGAGAGGGCTGATTCGCTGGTTGAGGGGCCGGTGAGGCATCTGAACGTATATTTGCTAGCGGAGGAATAAGCTGTTGTGTTTCTATGAAGATTAGTAGAGGCTTAAATATGTTGGTGTAGTTACTTACCCTTTATTCGCCCCCGGCGTCTAGCAAATAGGTAAGATTTATGGTCGGTCACTACTGGTAACCTTTTGAGTTCATTCACGAAATTAGTTATGTAGCGCTCCTGGGGGAGGCGAATAACGTCTTTGATGAGCTTGACTCGATCTTTAGCGTCAAGGTCGCCAATGTCTCTGAAGACCTTGTAGTTATTATTCGTGGCAATGTAGAGCGCGATAATAGCAAACTCTTGTCCATATGTGTAAAAGCGCTCTTCAATGGATCCAGGATTCGCCCCCTGGCGGCACGCATCGAGTACACGTCGTATTGTCTGCTCCGCTTGCGTTCTTGATTCTCCTCAAGACGAACCCTGAACATACTCACAACCCTAAGCAAAGAAAGCACTCTTGTTGAAATGTTCCCAAAGAGAATTACTTCGTATAAATGTCTTGAGCCTCTTTAGGACGTTTTTCAAACGCTGCCTTTAGGTCTAGGTATTCTCCTGTCTCGAATTGAACAAGAACTTGGGACGGCATTTTGTGGGGAAGACGGTGGGGAAGCTGGATGGACGTGGGCAGAGAGCTACTTTTAACGCATCGGCGATTCGCGTAGACCACGTGCTGAAGCGTCGGGCGAATGCTGTGCCGACGTGAACAAGGCTCCTTGTCTTAAGTTCGGCATTATAGTTTTCCCGTATCCCGAGGCTGTCGCTGATACTACCAAAAGCTTATATTGTGATGCTCAACAAAGTTCCGTGACGTGTATAGAGGACAGGCTCTCAAAACCAGCTCTTTGCTATGCCTACTACGCTCGAATTCCACGGTCGCAACCCCATCACATTCGAATCTGCTGAAAAAGTAGAAGCGAACGTCATCCGCCAGCTAGGTTACGGTCCTGCAGCAGCAGAGCTCCGGCAGGAACTTTGGAAGGAGAGAAGAGAGATTGAAGCCATTGCTAAACATCACCTTGGATTAGGAAGTGAGCTCAGCTACACTGTCCTCGAGCAGTCGACATGGATCCAAGGCGGCTTCAATATTTGCGTACCTATTGAGGCAAATCTTGGCAAGTTATCGAAGAAACTTATCTTTCGATGCCCGATGCCACACAAGCTTGCCGAAAGCATATACCCCGGCACGGTAGATGAGAAGCTCAGCTGTGAGTTGGGAGCATATATGTGGATGCAGGATAAGTGCCCTGATATCCGTATCCCTCACTTATACGGCTTTGGCTTCTCGGACAGCCGACATGTGAGCCACCTTCCTACAGTCTATTCCGTGCCGTTCCTAATTCTGTTTGGAGTCTAGTTCGGCCAATTTACCCACGCAGAGCACCGACCTCTCCATGTGCGCCTCTCCCGCCTGTTCTGGCAGTGCTTTTATAGCCTCTTTCGATACCCTACCCTATCACAATATACGCCCCACCAGAAGAGGAGCAATTTCCGTACGCCCTATATGCTGCTTGAGTATATAGACTCAAGCACGGGTGAGATGCTTCAAACACGTGGGAGGCACAACGGGAAGACCCGGCTTGCAGGAGGAGGTGTTCCAAGGCATATCACGCATAATCTTGTCTCTCGCCCGTATACCTCAGCCGAGAATAGGATCGTTTCAGTTCCACGACGATTGTGCTGTGACACTGACAAACCGGCCGCTTACATGTACAATAGTAGCACTAGAGAATGAAGGCACACAGAGGATAGCACAAAAGGATGACACCTATGCGTCTACTGAGCCCTTCGTATCCGACATGATTACCTTCCATGACAAGCGCCTCCTCAACAACCCGAACGCAGTATACGACGCTGGAGACTGCCGTACCCAGATGACCCAGAGGATGCTACTCCGGGCTCTCTCACATCAATATATCAACCGTGCTCGCCGTAATGGGCCGTTTCTGCTGCAGCTTACCGACGTCAATCCCTCCAACATCTTTGTCGACAAGGAATGCAACCTTACTTGCCTTGTCGACCTTGAGTGGATATGCGCTCTTCCTGCGGAAATGCTTGCAGTACCATACTGGCTTACTGGACGACGCATTGACGAGATAGAAGAGGATCACTTAATTAAGTTCAGCGAAATACGACGGGAGTTTATGGATATATTAGAGGAAGAAGAGCAGGGTCTGGGAGAACATAACATTTCAATATCAGGAGCTATGCATGACACGTGGGATTCAAAAGGAGTTTGGTATTGGTATTGTATATCGTCGGCGAATGCTATGCTTACTCTTCTTGTGGACCACATCTGCCCTGCATTTTCAGCAGAACTATATTCAGACTTCGAGGAGGTTCTGTCGAAGTTTTGGTGTGAGAATGCAGAGGACGTTGTTCAACAAAAGGTTGATGATAATATCAAATATAATGAGGAACTCCGACGGCGATTCGGGGAATCAGCAACTATATAGTGTAGAAGGAGGCATTGGTCAAATAAAATAGGATCCATCTTCAACAGTGCCCTCTAACCGCTATCAACTCGATTATTTGTTGTTTTTCCTTTAGCCTTCTTCTCCGCCGCCTCCTTTCTAGCCTTTCTCTCAGCTCTATCCCTCTTGGTGTTGTCGCCAGAGGAGATCACTATCCCTACATCGCGCCCCTTGCCGGGCGATTTGGCGATGGTGATTTCCTCTGTAAGCCTAGCCTGGCCGCTCTGGCAATATGAGCATGTTGGACGACACCGCTATACTCCCCTACTCCCCCGATGAATGGTCGCCACCACTGTTGCCATCTTTAGCGTCGGCCATGTTTTGAGCTCCTGCGACGGTGCCGCTCTCTCCTCGCTCGTAAGAGGGCTCGATGCGTGAGGAACACGTAGCGCGTATGGCGAGGAGTCCGTTTTGCTTCATCAGTACATAGAAGTTAAACCAAATCGAAGAGACCACGTACAATATGCAAAGTTTAGCCTATGCGCTTTTCTCTCAAGAAGCTGGGTGAGCCTCTGATACCGTGGCTATCGCGGCTGTTATATATTTAGAGACTGTGACAACGCAGACAGACCTTGGCAAACAATCGTCGAGGAAATATCCAATAAAAATGCCTTTGCTTGTACTTACTGTAACTCTATGGACAAGGTACCTGTACGACGAGTCAGCAGCTAATGATTTTACATTATTTCACATGGCTCTACGTTAACACAGGTGTAATGGTGGGTGCACCAGATGTGAGAATCTAGCCACCCAAGGAAGGGATGATTTTACTAAGACAACACACTGTCTTAGGAAACAGAGCCAAAGGGTTGTAGCTTAGACTATTCCACAACGCAGCAATCAGGTGTGTGATGTAGTGAAGTGGTTCAGACAAGTTGCAACAAATGTTGAGTCTGGGAACTCAGGGGTAAGTCAGAGGTTAACACCTCACTGACTTTTCAGAAACAAGGAGTAACAAGATGAATGCTTGGAAGCTTGGAAAAGACGTGGAAGTATGTGCTAGTCGATTTACTGTATTGCCTGCTTGCCCTTTCTTAAGGAAAGGGCAATCCTATTTATGCTAAAGGAGTGTAGTTCTCTCATTTTCCAAGACTTTCCATGACTAACCAGGCTTGGTAACTGTAGTCGACGTAAGAGAATCCCATAGAACCATCTCTTAGGTTCATAGCCTATAGGAAGTAAAAGGAGGTCCAAGGTCAGAGTACCCCTATAGACAAATTATGTCATAGACAAATTATGTCATAGACAAATTATGTCATAGACAAATTATGTCATAACTTAACCAATCTTGTGGGTAACTAAAGAGCGATGACATGTAATGAATCATAGAGGTTCGTAGGAGCTTTTAGAGCTATCGTTCATGCTCCTAGGCCTCTAGTTGGTAGAGATATGTCATGTGGTAGTATGAGTGATGTCATGTAATGAATCATAGAGGGTTGTAGAGATATGCTATGTGGTAATATCGGCCCAGTAACTAAGGAGCGATGACGTGTAATGAATCATAGATGGTTGTAGCAATCGTTGAGTAGTATTGCTCTTGTTGTTGGTGTGATAAGCCAAAATATGTATAGTGACTTGTAGGTTTGAGGAGGAGATTTCCAAGTTTGCTCTTGAGTTTGATAGCAAACTGAGTGCAACGAATGTCAGTATGACACTGCCTAATCGATAGGCTTTGGCGTTTCGATTACAAAGTCAGAACAGCACTAGGTGATTACTAACAATTACTCTAACTACAATAGGTATCTGGCTTGCTGTAAGTCTTTAACAGATGACTGTTGAGAGTCTATAGTCTTATTTCCTAATTAGGAAACAGTGGAGTTCATAGGGTGCAGGGTTTGTAAAGGGGTTTTAGACTATATTGATCGATTTTTCTACACCAACTATATACAGGCATGTAAAATGAGCTGTTTTACAGTAGCAGATGCGTCCTGGGCACAAAGAGATCCCCGAAACACAAGGCGTACCAAACTTCTCCAACACCGCCAAACCTCCCTTTGCCTCTTCTTCCCATTAGCGAATCGACACGATACCAAGCCGCCAACCCCACACCGTCGCGCCGTCCCCAGCGTCGCCACTGCGGAGAGGAGCACGTGTGTGGTTTAGGGCTTTATCTGTCTGCTAGAGGCGAGGAATCGATAATGCACAGTGGTACGGAGTAAACCCGCTCTACGGAGTACACGCAACAAATTACAAACTACAGGCAGTAGTACGCACGGCGCACGCACTCATTGCGGACCATTGCACCACAATCCCCCTCTCCACCGTTGCGGCCCGTGCAAAAGGTACTCTATACATAACAAATCTCGCAAACCGTATCCACACACGGCCCCACCCTCCCCGGCTTCCTGTCCTTTTACAGTTCGCTTCTCCATTTTTTTATTCTCAACAGTGCAATCCAGCCGGGTCGCTCCAGCCCGCGGTCAAGCCACAAAAACGGAACAAGGAAAAAAAAGCCTTCTTCTATGGGGGCTTCTGGACGATTGCTGGATTCGGGGATGCCGTGCAGCGTGCAGGACGAGGTGGAGTTATGTAAGGTACACACCATGTGTACTGCGCTCTCTGTAGACCCCCCGATTGCAGACATCTCCGAGACCTCCACGGCCCGAGATGAGTGAGTGGGTTTTTGGTATGTCCGTGTCGTTATCCGTTCGCTTGCTGGTGTGATGCTGTCCTCTGCTTTTCTGCTCATCGCTGATATCTATCTCGTCCCTCAGCTCTCCTCTTCCCCCATGAACCAGCCGTACTGTTATACAGAAGCTTTTGCGTGTATGCATGGCCAATGACTACAAGCCTACTGGGCCGTCTAGATGGTCGGTAGGTGAGGTGGTATGCTGAGGAGGGCGGGAGAGGTGGGCGGTGGTGATTTATACTCCCGAGTTCAGGGCCGAGGCGAGATGCCGAAGACGAGAGAGGAGATCAAATATGGGAAGGGGAAGGTGAGTAAATGGTACGAGCGTTTGTTGCCTGGCGCCTGGTGGGTAGATGTGCAAACTCGATTCCCATTTCGTATCTACCGGGTAGCATTTGCTATGGGCTCCCCAAATCCCAAGGGCGGAACATATCATCAGGCTTAGCATATATACAGACACGCACACGCACATAATTCATCCCATATCCATATACCACCCCCCATACACCACCAAATCCACGATCTATCCCACGCCCCCAGATCCAAGAAACTCCTTCCATGCAATCTACCCAACCATCCACACATCATCAACCCCCTGCACAACAACAACCCCCTTCATAACAACAAACCCCTTCATAACAACAACCCCTACTCACTAACCTCCCAAGCCCTAACAGCCCATCATCTCCACTCGAAACCACCATCTCTCCCTCCCATCAAACCGCTGACACCACGTAACATGATTAATCTCATACGGTCCATGACCCATCTCCCGCTGTGGCGAGGATCTTCCACTTCCCATTCCCCCCCCTTCCTCCCCTTCCTCCCCCTTTCCCCTCCCCTTCCCTCCCCTTCCTCCCCATCCCCACCCTCCCCCACACCGTCCGCGCCTCCTCCACTTCCCCATACACCACAATCCTCGAATCCCCCCACAGCTAACCACCCGTCCCGTCCTCTCACTCCACGCAACCGCATACACAGCCCTTGTATGCGCCGCGGGCAGCGTCGCTTCGATCACCCATTTCTCCCCCTGAGCAGCAGCGCGCATCGTCGATGGGATGCCGCCACTCTCCGCCTCAGCAGCTTCGACACGCTTCCAGACGCGCAGTGTGGTGTCTGCCGAGCAAGTTATTAGGCGGCGGTGTTTAGGCTTCGGTGCTTCGGCGTCTGCTTCCTGCTCAGACTCGGCG